GGGGTAATCCATGTTGGGTGCTGACAGTGAGGTGTGCCTTCGACATTAGCTATTGGTCACACCATTCCCGTCTGACCCGAGTAGGCCCCCAATTATCCGACAGAAATCATCAACGTCAGTGATCTACACTGTCTACTTTGCCATTAAACACCTCCAATACATGTTGGAGTGCAATTCTCTCACGATATTCACTGGCCATATACCTCAAACTGAAGTCTTGTTACATAATCATGATAAATATAGTCCGCTCAAAATTCGTCAACTAGAATCCATTTCACAGTTTGCACCTGACATACGTCACATAGAAGTCAAGGAAAACAATGTGGCAGATGCCCTGTCGAGATTAAATATTACTTCCTCATCAATTCCTGATATAAGTTATCCAGTCATGGCGAAGCATCAAAACTTCGTTTAATTTTGGTAATCCAGGAAAACAGAACTATAATTTCAAAACATCTTCATTAGCGACAGGGAAACTTAACAGGTATGACTCGCCTCTTGTTACCTTATGACATGAGGCGAAACATTTTTGAAAAGTTACACAACACATCTCATACATGTATAAAGGCCACGATGAAGCTTTTAACGTACAGGTTTGTGTAGTCAAGCGTAGATTTTCCAGCCGCTAGCGGCAGATTTGACCACATACAGTGGTTATGCGCATTGACTAACATGCATAGGCAGATTCGCGAGACGCCCCATAACTGTCAATTTAAAAGACACGTCAACACCAAAAACGGTAAACAGATTGTTAAAACACAACTTTTGTGTTCCAACTACAATTACGACCGATCGTGGTGCCCAGTTTGAAAGCAAGCTGTTTCGGTAACTTAAAGACAATTACTGCCTAAAGGCGATTAGAACAACAATTAACCCTCCATGTACAAGTGTGAGTCTTTAGAATTACTCTCTAGTTTGTTATTGGTGCTACTATAATAATAGACCCAATCATAAAATTGTATATACGTCATGATGTGGCTGCCTGATCTATAAGATCTTACGTGGAAGTCACACCATTGTCTACACTGACTCATCGTATTGTAACAAATGGACAATATGATGTCCAAAGTTTCTAATGATAACACTTGAGCCAAAGATAAAATAATGTTTTTAATGTGAGTAAAGACAAGTTACCCAGAATGACCATGCCTGCAAGGCTGAGTCATGTCATCTTTTTTAATCCAATATTCCCGAGTTCACCATTCTTGGCCTTCGCCCCGTGTTAAATGTTGAATGTCTGTTTTCCCAGTTATCTCATGTTCAGCTTTGAAAATTGTGTGTTTAGGACTAAAACCACTACAAGTTTGACTGAGTACAAGTCTGCACCTCAATCATTATCTACTCTCCCGTTGGTTATTTACACAGGCAATCAATAACTTACCCTCAATGGACTAACACATAAATTACACATGGATATTTCCACTGCCAGTCTAACAGTCTCGTGTAGATGGCGTCGTGTCGCGATTGACTATGATCACCAAAACAATAAGATTACGCGCTAGATAAAGACATGGATCCCTCGATAGGCCAAAAACTATAAGGTTGTTATTGGTCCAGATAAGATATATTTATTGGCAATCTCGTGGTATCGAAAGGATACCGAGATGTGCTAAAGAGTACAGGCAAAATGCCAGAGCATAAGAGAGTTCGCACAAACAAGATGGACAACGGAACGAACAAAATCACATTTGAACAAAACGAGTACAGTAAAACGATCACTGGTACAATTGGTTATGATAATAATTATTTTCATTATACCAATCGAGTTCTCGTAGAGAAAAGTAGGTCACTACATTCGCTTCTCGGTATACTTGCTCTTTTGTGTGCTTGGGGATCATATTAATTATTAGCAATACACAACAGCAACGACTGATGTTCAGGCTTTTGAATATTCTCGAGTAAATTAATGGTACTACTAGGAGAATTCTCCTACTCAAGTACTCAGTTAACAAGATGTTATCTTTTGAAGTCAAATAGCCGTGAAATTAGCCCCTGACATTTAACGTTCGTGACGTGAAAGACTAACATTTTCTGTCTACTGAACACTGTTAACTTAAGTTCAACTTTCACGTGTTAAACATCAACAACTTTATCTCAATTATTCCTGGCTAATATACATGTATTTTTAAAACTTCGATATAAAACCTCAGTCTTTTAACTATTGAGATAATAATGTATAGCCTTTGTAATGACACGTGTTGAAAAGCTAGGACCACCTCGATAACGTATCCAGAGTGTGACTCCGTGTTCACACTATACTGTCTTCTGAAAATCGTTTACTTTGTTACGAGTAAAGCGCTTATGAAAGCTACGTGTTAATAGCCAGTCCAAAGAACAGTAGATTATTAATGAGAAGTTCTGTTTTATTCGTTATCTTTATGCTAGATGAACGGAAGTAAATAGATAAAGTAGGAACTAGAAAAAAGATGTTCCTGAATGTATGCATAAGAACTTATACTAAATAACATGTACAGCAACAGTCGTTGAATGTTGTCAACGAGTGGACACAAATGGACTGCTATGATAGTAGCACTTACATGAGAATGCAGTCGTGTACATTCAATATATCTGTATAAGACACCACAGGTTATCTAATATCAACGTTTGCCTTAAACATATTGTGTCGCTAGACAGTAAGTTAGTCCCTACTCTATATTAAGGATACATGTTATCTCCTCTGGATAAGCTATGCGAATATTGTTAACTGAGTAACATGAATGTGACTGATTTTTCTGGATAACTTTAGTTTACACCGTGAGATTGTCACACGCGGTATTTATGTCCTTCAACACTACAGGTCTACCATTTCATACTTCGGAGAATATTGAACGTTTTGTCACAACATTGGTAATCCGGAAATTACGTTCGATTACACGTTGTCGTGAAATATGTCTGTATGGTTCAGCTTCCCTGATAGTTGTTTAACCATATGCATAACTAAGGTAGACACGCAATGTACAAGTAACAACAATTACCCGTTTCTCCAGGGTTGTCAGTTGCACGACATTATTACTAGGACAGACTACCGGAAAACAGCGTGCTTTCGTTTCACAAGGAGGTCACGAGTACAAACTATCTTCACTTGTCAGTATTATGCTATTCTTACACTCTGGAAAACATACAGAAGATTTTCAAATTCATCTCGTGTCAAGGACATGTGAGATCGGATTGTTTTCCAAAGTATTCTCTAAGTCAGTCAAAATACTAACAGAACTATTTTACGCAGTAGTACAACCAAATAAATGGGACAAAATTACGACAGTTATAAAGGGACGAAATATGCTCAATCACCCAATTCTTGCCATAGGTTGACAATTAAAAAGCAAAACAGATTTTTCTTCAGTTGAAAGATAGACGAAATCATGTTACAGACATGGATATGTGTCATTTGGCATTTTCTGAAATGCACAGATCTCCTAAATGTATACATACGAGTAAGTTAAGCTAGCCCTTAAACATGTAATTGAAATGTGAAATGACTGCCATAACACAAGCCGCTCAAGCTCACTGAAACAAAAAAGCAGTGAGTTCAATTCCGAGCTAGCTTTTACGAGGTGCGTTCCATTGATAGCAACGCTTACTACTTATCTAGACATAATCAGACTGATGACTCAATGATTGTCAGATAGCACCTCAAATCTAGGACTTCAGGTCATAAAAATACCAATACTTGAAAAATTCTGTTCTTAGTCTTTAGAGACAGTTTAATTTGTTGGATCCAATGCGTCACTCGTCATCTAATGGCCACGTAGTTAAAACGCCTGGAAAATGAAATTCCATAGTGATAAAAAAGACAAACGACTATATATTTTGCCAGACCCCAGCGCATGCAAAATAGCATAGAGTTTAATAAACCTGGCTACTCAAACTTAAGGCCTGTCGAACACCTGGTGTTTGGTAGAGATTACGTAGAGCATATAGAAATGTATTATGCTGTATACTTTTAACTTGGCTGGAACAGCTAACCCACTTCACCAACTCTCTCTTAATATTTAAAAATATCACAGTGTTTAAAAATTTGGACAATTCATTATAAGACGTTTTATTAATGTTTTAATAAAAAAGCAGATTTAACACATCTACAAAAACGCCACCATCGTAATTTTGGCCTTGAGCCTACTTATTTACTAATAAAGACGACTGTAAGAATATTTCTGTCAAGCCTAGAAACCCAAAGCCTGCTTTACGGACTCAGAATGACTAAGTCTGTAAGAAACTGAACTAGTAGTCACAAACAATCATCTGCCTCTGCGCTAAACTTAATTGCACTACTCTCACCCAGTCCAAGATCTCCAGATAACTCGTAGCAGTAAATAAATCCATAATATAAATAGTTCTGTAAGTCTTTGACATCTGATATTGACCTCATTAGTCCTGCTCGACACACCCAGCTGAAGGCGCTCAGTCATGCCTCGTATCAGATTATGAGTGGAATCGTCGTGCTACGCATCCCTTGCAAATGTCAGTCAGTGTAGATTAAAAGCTTCTCAAGATATCGATAGCCTTCCTAATATATCTTCAAACTACTTCTTTTTTGACTTTTGATTTGACTCGGACGGTGTACCTCGATCATTAAGATGTTAGGTACCAAGGCGTTGTCAAACTTCGAACGTTTGCGATATCTTTAGACCTCAGCATCTAGATAATATCGTTACAACTCATCACAATGGAAAGGCTGTCAGAGATAACACTATATGTTACAAGGACCAGTCTGTTGTTACATATGACGTGAGAACATCCCTTAACAATAGTCTTCAGCAATTCCCTATAACTAACTTATGACAACTTACTAACCTAATGGCTGCAAAATCAATAAAACGCTTAAACCACAGACGTGACTTCAAACATTCCTGTGGCTCTTTAAAACGAATTAACGTTATCCCCCCCAACAACTACCACAACGTTTTTCCAGGGATCATGGATTACTTTCGGAAAACCATCTGTACATTTCAATTGCTTAACACTGATCAAATAACTGTTCATTTACTAGGTAAGCTAGTGATTTACCTAAGGTCATCATCCTTTCACAGTTAGCTGTGAAGATATAAACAAACTGGTCGAATGAACTGAGCATTGCACATCAAATTGTTGAACTGACCAAAAAGTTTTCAGCTCTCTTACTTCCATCACGACAATGCGTTTTGTTGTCAAATACTGTATATTGGATGTTGGACACACAAGTGAACTTTCAAACAGTGTCTACTGCCGTGCTGTTATGCTAGTATGCAAAAGAAGAATTACCAAAGAAGCACTTTAAACCGTGTTCTTACGATTGCTCACCGTGGTACAGTCTTCACTTGTTTGATGTTCGGTGTAGCCCTCACAGGGTACACAGTCCTTTCACTAGCCCAGTATTATATATATAAACGACCTGTTATCAAAAAACAGCAACAAGACTACGCAAAAGCACTTATTTTTAAAGAGAAACGGGAAAAAGAGCTCGGTTTGAGAGATTGATAATATTTCACGTGAGGTTACATGAAAAGGCTGTCAAACCGTCTCAGGGATTTCTTTCTTTCTATAATGTCCATTTTGAAGTCTTGCGAGGTTACCAATATACAACAACCATCTTCGAAGTCTATTGTAGATGAGTCAGTTCCTAGTTTCTCCAATGCTCCCACCAGACCTAAACGTAGGAATAATGCCATTTTGTTGATGTATTCAGGTTGGGGTTATTATGGCATGCAAAGGTTAGTTGACAATTTAGTGCGCTATTTATTCGACTTTTTGATTATGAACAGTTAATTGTGTTTGCATACATAAACACTCCCTAACAAGCAACATGCCTAAAGTGTGTATCATTGACCGAAACTTTCCTACAAAATATGGAATAACAAAAAATAGTTGTCGATTACCATAAGAGCAATTTCGTATCCTATGTTGTATGGTGAGGAAAGCTGCTTCTATCGTCGTGAACATTTATATCAACACACAAAGTGCATGAATTTATGTATACGCACCGGGAGTGTCCATAGAAGTGTGTACATTTACAACATACAGGTTCAGTGAATAAAGAATTTTGAGAAATGCAAAATTAATACTACACGAGATTGGTTCTATAAACTGAATTATATTACATATAAGCGTGAAAAGCTTTTCTAGGAAGATAAAAATACTCTAAACATTATGATCCTCTAGTTGTCTTCATTGCGTGAGCTGACTCAAAAGACCTTATCTAGGTAGTTTGTCACTATTCAAAAGGTTTTAGGTTGACATAATGATGGCCTTCATCATACTCCAATAAAGAAACTGGGTTAATGGGTCAACCTGGTAACGTCATTGAAACGATCATCATTCCTATCACTTGTGTTAGGTTTGATGTCTCACGAAATTTCGACACAAGTTTGGAAAGCTCGGTCGGATTATGTTTTTATCACTTATAGTATAATCGAGACATCCGTCTGCTAAACAAAGGACCAACAGCTTGGTCTGTTTTCATATATGTTTACGAAACCCAAAAATATCAGAATATTAGTAAAAAAGCAGTATTAAACCACAGGTGGATTCCGACTATGGCTTGGACGTATCTATGTATAGATACAATCTCCTAAATTATCCACAAATAAAGGTCAGGTTGCGTACTTAAACTTGAAGTGCTCTTCTCAAACGTATCACTAGTGTCATGAACCTTATAATAAAGCTCTTACCAGCACATGAACTTTGATTTAACTCAGAACCATATCCAGTGCTCATGACTGTCTTCCTTTCCATTTCTCAATTGAATGGTAAGTCAAACTGGCCATGGAGAGCATTGCTCGTATATACTAGGACCACTGAAGTGCTAAGGTTACGTTTAGGGTATTAGGTGGATGTGGTAAGTCTTTTGGTGAATTAGTATATTTCCATTTACTGAAGTGGTTGAGATGGGTATGTATGTATGCGTATACCTAACCACCGGCTAACTAGACGAGTTATGTTTCCTTATGTAGTAGTACGCTGTCAAACCAAGGCGATATCAGTTCACGAATTCATTGGTAAATGAACTGAACAGTGTAGGCAGGCTCAGACTACCTGGTTGAGATCCGTGTGATCATCGTAACTAGTGGTTAGACTTTGGGTGACGTGGCTCAAAAATGCCCGCAATGACACATCCATTCATTCTTTATCCTCCTTCGGTTCTTGAATTCCGAAATCTCATTAAAACTTCTCGTTTATTTTTTCCTATACTCAATATTTTCTACTACTCTGGAATTGTTAATTTTATTTCGTTGTGGTGTGGTAACTTGAACGAATCCTTCTTTCCACCTTTGATTTTATTTGCTTATTTATTTGAACATAAGTATTGGTACAAAAGAGCACCGAATACGTATGTGCCACACAAGTCACTCGGATTGTGTGCGGGCTGTGATACTTCCCGGGTACCCAGACATAAGCGGGTGGTTTTCTTAGAGGGTCACGCTCAGACTCATTGACCTAAAGGTCTGATCCACAAGGCAGTGGAGCAACGTCAGGAGATGCAGTCCCATGGTAGCCAGTGACCAATAATAGATTCATACGCCAGTTGTCCCCTTAGAATACTGAAGCTCATGTGCACCACTAGTTTGAAATCAGGGTTTTCCAACTCCCCTAGGTAGACTTTCCTTGTCCACCAACCCAGATAAAGCGCCTGACATTCGCTTTTCGTCCTCTCAGTTTCGTAAACAACAGTAATGCCGCGAAAAGTCAGTGAGTAGGACTTCCCTGGCTGAGGCTATATACGCGTGGCCATGTGAGAGCATTTCGAGGAGGGCGAACTCTTCCCACCTTCGGCCGCATCAAGGCATTTATCCAACTGAGAGTCATTACCTTATACTAATTCTTGAGGACCAAATATTTTAATCATACTGTCTAGACTGTTAAGTTCTCAAGACGTTAATTATTTCTTGGGTTGATTGTGAATAAATATTTGCCAACCTTGAAAACAAGTGGTCCGAGTGGAGATTAATCATGCGTCTTGACGTTTGCCGATATACTGTGGAGTTATAATCAGCTGTACAGATATATTCTTTTGTTTTCCATATTAGGATCAGTTCACGTTTAATCTTAATGCCTTGTACAGTTTTTTTTCATCCAGTCCTTCATTTTCTACATTAGATTTGTTTATGGTTCACGGGGTACATGTTTTATCACCCTAATTTCATCTTCGTATGTTAAGAATAACCTTTGTGAAACTCAACCGGAAATTTTATTTTTATAGACTTGTATGTTCTTTATCCATTTGGCGATTCCTAATTGTAAGGTTATTTTATATATTTGGAATTTCAGTTGTGTTGTCTTTTCATTTTTGTGTTTGTGTGGATAAAATTCAATACAGATGCCCTGTTTTTCCAACTATTGAAGGAGAACTGTCTAAAGCTCTCTTTACTTGTGGTCAACTCGATAATCTGACAAGTGAAGAACATAAAAGAGTAAGTCAGCAACTATTCCTGCCAGACTTATTGTTGTATCCATTTAGTTGTGTTTTACTTTAGTAATAGTGATTATGTACGATAAAGATTATTTTCTTTTGAGCAGCTATCAGTTTATTGCCATCTAGAGATGTCAGTCTCAGCTTTCTTCAATAGTGACACCTTTCCTATAGTATACTTTAGTTCATTATAACTTACAACGTCTTATTTGATCACCTTCGATTACAGTCCTAAAATTTCGTTTTGCAGCTGCTTTGTTCGGTCAAACGTACCGCAACTCAATAAGCATGTGAAGTTTTTTGTACTGATCCACCATTATTGTGTATGAGCTGGTGGACCTACCTCATCGCTCAATCCTAAGTAAATGAAGCAAAAATCACACCTCTGATCTAATGGTGTGAGGTTTAGTGTTTTACAGATACTTGTATACTTGCATCTAATGTATATTACTAATGTATATTCCGTTTATCATCCCGTCAACAAAACCCGTTTTTAATCTTATTTATTTGTGACTAACTGATTTATAACCACATGTATAACCAGCTGTTCAGAAGATATCAAATCCCTATCGTTAGTAGTCTAAAGGCTATATAGAGCTTATCAAGAGAAACGGATTTGGGTCAAGTAAAAATGTCAAAAATCAAGTATATATATATATATATATATATTCATGCTACAATGTACAAGTATATAAGAACTTTCGTCTAAATTAGAGCGATTAGTTTCACAGTATTTGGGATCCGAGTTGATGTAAGACATTAAATAGGAATAATATGTTTGTAAAATCTCAGCTAATGAATTTGAAGTAAATCCAACGTTTCGCCTGGCAATCTGGTCCATACTTGGACCAGATTGTACAATGTACAAGGTTTGGAGATACTAACTGGTTGCCTAGACCAAAATAGAGGAACCGGAATTCAAACCTCTGACCCATTGATTTAAAGTAAAATATGCTAATCACCAAGCTACCTCTCCTATGACTGAATAAAGTTGGTTGTGACACTATCAGTTATAAAAATAATGTTTATCTCAGCGTACTTATCACAAAATTAGCGATATTATGGAATAAGATGAGTAATTTTCTCACTTGTCTGATGACTGTACAGTAGTTGATTTCAATCGCTACCATCCATGTTTCATATTGAACAACCTATTCCTTTAAGTTAATTAATGTTCAATACATTCAATTACAACTCAATAAGTTTCTGCTCAACATTGGACCATACTGCACGATATCGAACATGCTTATGGCTACCATTTAATTATTGATAATCATATATTAGTATATGTAGCAAGAGCTAGACAACATTTCATTCTTCTGTTTATTTCTATCCGACTTCCAGGTTCATTTTCAACGTGCATCTAAAACTGACAAATCCGTTTCCGCCCTTGGACAAGTTTGTTCTATGCAAGTAGGTCTCTTTGTTAATGGATTAAACTAATTCTTATTCCCCCCCCCCCCGAAAGTTACAAGAAGACACAGATTTATTAAGTAAATTGAACAACTCTTTGCCCGAAAATATTCGTGTTCTTGGTAAGTTCACAGACTCATTTATTAATCACTTTTTCCGAAGAACATAAACAGTATATTTCCCAACCTTCATATGAATGAACCAGGTACTTATTACTCATTTATTTCTACACATAAATACTGGTACAACTGGTCACCGAAATAAATATGCACCATGTTTAGAGATACAAAAAGAGAAGGAAGATGACCGACTGAGCAAATGAATAGAAATAAGTGGACGAGGACGAGTTGTAATGGGCAATCAGTTTTAAAAAGATACGAATAAGAAGGATCCTTTCAGTTGAAGTTCTCCTTTTGTTAGGAATATAGAAGGAAACTACAGCAGGACATACCATCAGTTTTCATTCTGAGAAATATCTGGTAACGTCACTGAGTTGTAATATCTCTAAGACCCCATCCTGGGAGTCATAGTAGAGCGGCAGATGCCAATCCTACAAAGCTTTTTTTTACACTACTGGACGATGTCATAGGTTGACCACCTTCCCACTTTCCCCACTCCATCTTAGCATTGGCGATCAATGCACGATATGGAAGGTGTTGAGATGACATTTGTAACACTTGTCTAAGCCACTAAAAGCGGTGTTTAAGACAGTGACGTCAATTGAGTTATTATCATTGTACCTGAACACACGTTGCCGAACCACAATATTACTAACAATGTCGGCAATCCTCTGGAGACAACAATGATTAAATAGTCGTCTTATATCCTCCCGTTTGGAGAAGACAGGTTTCTCAAGCATAGGGCATAGCTGTTCTTGATGCGCTATAAACTCGACCTTGTACATCCAAATTAACACCACGACGGCGAAGATGCTCTAGGTTGGGATTAGCCGTCCAAGCTTCCACCATATTTAGACTGATTTTGTTGTTTGAATGATATGACTTGCTGTAAGGTCCTTTTTATACGTTGTTGCGTGAATGTGTGAAAATCCCTCCATGTATATGTTTTATGTGATGATGACTCCTTGTCTTCCCCTTAATTGAAAGTTAGAAGTTTTGATTCATTTGTGTCTCTTACTTAACGTATCAATTATATTTTAATCACTCACTCACTGGACTTTGGTAACTGCCATACTGAGTAGCCATATTCTTGATTATTACTGTTTAACTGATTGGTTTGGATATCTTTAAGGAATATAAATCATGTTTCACTTTTGTTGGAAACGTGTATTGTTGTCGAAAATATTGATCGCTCACCTTTTGAACGAATTCAATTGATGTATCCACTATGGACTGAGGTATTTTCCTTGCTTGGCAGGGCCACCCTCTTCCATTTGACAGCCTGACTGTCCCATTCCCTTGAGGTACAGGATATCTTTTTCTGCTTGACAGGAGACCTTTATTTCTTGGTTACTTGATCTTACTATTTCTATTGGATACGAATCGATTAGGATAGATTTTTGTCCCGATAGTAATCAATACCGCATTTGAAAATAAACTCCTGCTTTTGATTCATTAGTGTTCGGTTGGCGCTTCACAGATAGAGTATACAAGTTATACTTACTGCCATTTTAATGAAAGCGAACACAGGTGAGGACAACCGATTTATGATTTAATACAAAATTACAGGATATCGTGGTAAAATATGAGAATCATACATGGAATACTTCATTTGTAAATCTTCCGTCGATGGTCCTTCACTCTCTATTTGATTCTTCCACTTCACAATTTCTTTCTATTTCATTCGAATTAGTCTCCTTTGCTTTCTGCTGCCAGGTTTTCCACTTCGATTGTTATAACATACTGCTTATGTCTGTCGACATTAGCAGTATACACCACACCATCATTTCCCTGTACAGTCCATAATGTAACTTAGCTCTCGAACCGTAAATTTGCCGCTATTTGATCAACGCTTTGTACCTGGTAACACCTAAAGGGGCGAATGTTCCAGCCGATTTTACTCAACTGGGTCATGATGATACACAAGCTTAGCCACCACATCGTAGTAACAGTCGAGGCTGTTCAAGAAAGAAGGTATACAGATTTCCCTTAACGTCACTCTGTTTATCTGCGTAAGAACTATACTTGCTCGCTCAATAGCCGATAAATAACCCAAGCAGTCATCGACCAAGAATTTACCTTTTACGGACTTCAGGACAACTGTCATAATAATCAGACGATCTTTGGTCTGTTTCATTCCTAGCAATGTTTGTGCTAAACGGAAATGCTATTTCCCTAAATGGCTGTGAAGTTGTCTGGAATTCAACAGGCTCTTCCAATAGGTATGAATGAGTCACAAGTATTTCGTAACAGAAGTAATATGAACTAATGGCGTTCGGTAGCTTTAGGAAGTTTATTAGTCTTTCAAGGCTGAATATCAATTTCGCAATCTTGATATTAAAGAAATCCTGGCTATTAGTATGACTGTCTCGGAGAAGGACGGGACCATAATTCCCTCTCAATTCGCGAGATTAAAATCGATGGACTGATCACTTTCGAGAACACTTCGAATGACTTTCAACCACGTTTCAGTTACCAACTACTTTCTGGCAACCTGTTACGTCTTTGATCCGTCTCCTCAATAATATACAGGAGAGAACTTGTCTCGATCTACGTTAAGGCCTTGACACGAGAGATTAATTGGTTCAACCTTGTGTAGGAAATGCCTGAGTCCGAATTGAAACTGATGGCCTTGGGCAGAGAAACAAAAATTATTCTAGCAACTGATTGATTGACAAGCGAGAAAGACGAGTCAACTGTAACACTACTCGATTTATTCCTGATTCAATTTAGTGTAAAAAGGTCTATGAATTAATAAATAACTGACTAACACGACCAAAACACACAAATAATAAAAAATTCAATGTCCTGACCAAGAAATCGGGTAGAAAAATGGAGTACGAGGGGTACAATAGCTTTGGAATAGAAAAGGGTATGGCAGGGAATCATGCATCAAAGGGAAAATTATGGCTTATGAAATAACCTAGGAAGAAAACTAATAGTTAGTATTTCACGAACATTGAATTGAGTGAAATAATGTCCCCAAAAATAACTCCCATTGTTTGTCAAGTCCACTGACATCACAACCTGAATGGCGAATTAACGTAAATCCTTCAGACTCTTAGTGAGGTTGGAAAGGCTATAAGCAATCTAAGGACAGGGAGGGCAGCAGAGCCCGATACACTAACCGCTGAAATTTTTGAAGGTTTTGATCCAGTTATAGCAGGTAGATTGAATGAGATCTCAACTAGAATATGGGAACTGAACGTATTTCCATCTGACTGGTCCCGATCGCTGATGATCTAAACCTATTAGAAAGAACAAAACCCCTCTTTGGACGATCATAGAGGAATCAGTTTAACTAATAGTGTCTAAAATATTAGCGTCAATAATTATTTGACGTCTAACGTGACTCGCGTATTCCACCACTATCAGACTGACTTAAAACGGCACCTATACCATAATCACTTGCGTCTGTGACCACTCTGGACGGTTTCTCGAGTTCAGGCAGTCTGAGCGTCATCTGGCGGTCGTCTAGCATGTTTCTGATTCGACTGAACGTTTTTTGGGCGGTCTCAGTCCACGTTAACTTAATGTTGCTCAGCAACTTATATAGAGGTGCTGCTATTTCGTTGGAGTTCTTGACGAACCGACTGTAGAACGCCGCCCTTCCTTTTCGAATTAGGTACTGCTATGTTCTTTATGGTTAGAATTTTCCCCGGTAGTGGTTTTATTTCTGCATTTCCTACTTTACGCACCAACAACGTGATGCTACTTTTCGCCATCTGCGACTTGGTCTTATTAATTTGAAGTCCGAATTCTTCAATTCGCTTTAAAACCTCTTCCACTTGCTTGACATGATGTGTTCCTGTCTGGCTGCGCACAGCTATATCGTCGCCATACAGTTCGACATTATCTAGATCCCTGAGCAGTAGCGACATTAATCTTCTGAACATAAGTGGTTCACCCGCCAACCCAAACGGCATTCGTCTAAATTGATACCGTTTTTCACGTACAGTAAATGCTGTCTTGCTTCGATCGCTGTCTTTTATAGGCAGTTGCCAATAACCTGACGACAAATCCAGCACTGTAAACGCCGTAGCATTCTGCAGCTTATCTAATGTTTCCACTACTGTTGGCATTGCACAAGGTTTCAGTTCTGTTATAATATTCAGTTCTCTAAAATCGACAGAGAATCTACACTTTCCATTCTGTTTCGTTATCAAGAGTACCCGTGAGCTATACGGGCTGTCCGCCTCCTCAATTATACCTTCTTTCAACATCTCTTGAACCTGTCGATTTACCTCAGCCTCTAAATGCACAGGTACACAACTTGTTGCAAATATACTTCATCTTTCTTTATCGGGATTTCGTGCTTTACTTTGTCACAAAGTCCGTACGGCTCTCCTCCAGTGAACAATTTCGCATACTTTGTGCACAACTCATTGTTTGGTTTCTTCGTTGAAACGGCTTTTTACCCTCTTACCTCAGCCACTTCGTTACTTTCATGTATTCGGAACGAACCGTACTTTGTGGCCACCTTACCGCTTCTAAGGTCAACTATTGCTTTTACTTCTCTTAGGAAATCTGTTCCTAATATCGGTCTTTAGAGGCTTGCGGTTACCACGAACAGGGAGTTTGTCTCAGCACCATCCACTTTTACGATACTGTTAGACACACCCAAAACCTCTAACATGTGCCCTTCTATAGTGTGTACTGCTAATGTACACGGCTTGAGTCTCTTACATTGCTCTTCGCTTATCAACGATATTGCTGCCCGTGTATCGATTAGGCACACTAAATCTCGTTCATTTATTTTCTCTATTGTATAGACTGCCCCTCTATCTACCAGTGAAACAACTTCCGAATTCCTAGGGTAGAAAGAACACGCGTTATAACGTCTAAAAGATCTCCATTTTCGTCTTGTTGGATAGTTTATTTTCCAATATCCTGTCCCTACACAAGCGTAACATTTTTTATTCCCTTTATGATTCACTTGTAATGCCGCGATCTCATGCTGCAGCTCCTCAATCTTCTCGATGCTATTTATCTCCTGATTTCCGCACGCGACCGGAGCTAATGTTCGTGTCATCAACTGTCGCGTCACCTTCGCAAGCTCACTGATGTCCATAGGTTTCGCGGCGTTTACCAGTCTCAGCTGCTGGGAAACGGCAATAGGCACGCTCTCGATAAACCGCGACACCAACAACTGTGCATCCGACTCAACCGGATTCAGAAGCGCGCGGTGCAGCAACCTGGTAAGCTCCATGGCGAACACCAGTGGGTCGATCGGCAACTTCGCCACTTGGAACTTCTACAGTGCTTCTTCCCTGTCTACTGGGATGTCGAACTCCGCGATCAACCGTTCTGTAGTTGCCTCCCATGTCGTCCTCCTGCCAGCACCGTCCGAGCTGTCATATACAGCTTTCGCCCTGTGTTATATCCCCCGGTGAATTACGAATGGTAACTTTTAGGTCTATTTATGGATCAATGTAATATGCCTATTTCCTATTGTACAGTTATTACGTAACTGAACTATTCATATTCGTATTTCTCTTATTATTAGCTTTATTTTGACCTTTGACTTATTATCGTACGAATCTTGAGTTATAGTCAGTTTATTGATTACTTTGGTTTGTATAAAAACCCAGTGTGTTTGTAAATAATGTTTTATACCACTGAGGATGTTATTGGTGTTTTGGACTTAACTGGTTGGGCTAGGCAGATCGCAGGACCGGTTAGCACTGTAGACTGCTCGTACGGGTTTCGTGTCACTGTTCCAGTCGATAATTCGCTGCTCCCTGATTGGCGGTTCTGTCGCGTCACACATTAACTAGTCATCCACTCGGCCACAAGCATAACACCCTGCCCCTCAACAACGTCCCCAGCACCACCATCTTCGGCTCCTTCACTCCTATCAGCTCCACCAAAGCTTCAAACTCCTTCAGAAATCTCGGCACATCTCTTCGGCTATGGGATCTTCATCCTTAGTGGAGGCAGCGACACCAAATGTAGTGAATGAGAACACAAGTGGGGACAACGGATTATGCATTTAGCACAAATTACAAATTTGCTTGATAAAATTATTTATTTATTTATTTATTTAAACACATATATATTGGTACAAAAGGGCACCAGGTACATATGCGCCACACAAAATAATGAAAGTAGGAAGAGAAGGGATGAAGAGATAAGGCGGACGGAAATGTACAACCAGAAGACTCTTTCAGTTAGGAAAGTTAGAACCATTCTTTATGTAGAAAGTAAATGAAGGTTGCAGCAGCATCGCCATTGGCTTCTATTCTGAGCCATATCTGATAACGTCTCTAGCCACTGTGTTGCACCATCTCTCGGACCCCAACCAGGGAGTCATGAAGGACCAACAGAAGCTAGCCCTTTGCAGCTCTCTTTCATGCCACGACACCATGTCATACACTGACCTCCTCTCCGCTTTTTCCAACCAGTCCCAGGGTCGGCAAATAATGCACGACGTGGAAGTCTCTTGGATGACATTCGTAAAACATGTCCAAGCCACCGAAGTTAATGTTTCAAGATGGTGACACCAATTGAATTATCGTCTCTGCGCCCGAACACACGATGCCGAACCTCCTCATTACTAACATGGTGTTGCCACTGAATGTCAGAAATCCTTTGGAGACAACGATGATCGAACACAGAGAGACGTCTAACATCCTCAACTTGGAGAGGCCAGGTTTCACAAACATAGAGCAAAACTGCTCTAACCGACGCGTTGTAGATCCGACCTTTTACAGCCAGACTAACATCACGAAGGCGCCAAAGATGACCCAGATTGGCATAAGCCGCTCTGGCTTTCATTATACGTGCACCAATCTCATCACTCACGCCACCACCAGCACTTATATAGCTACCTAGATACACGAACTTCTCAACTACTTCAATCTGCTCACCATCTAGGGTGAGTACAGGATTAGAATCGTGCCAGTCTTGTTGGAGTACTTTGCACTTGGAGGGTGCAAAGCACATGCCGTACCTGCGGACACTGATTGCCAACTGATTAAGTGCGGATTGCATGCCTTGGGCATTATCGCACAGTAAGACAATATCATCCGCATACTCAAGGTCGAGAAGTCGTTCTCCAGACAACATATCCACACCGCCATTACTTACATCCATCAGAGCTGTTTCCAGGATGAAATAGATAAAATAGAAAATCCATACTCTATACTTCATTTACAAAATGCTCAATAATTGTCTCGGGCTTTATTGTTCCTGGACTTCCACATCAACTGCTTTCTGTTAGTGTTCTTCCCTTCTTAATCTTCTGCCAGATATTCTATTCCGGACTCACGATATATACTACTTTATTTATTTATTTAAACACAAAAATATTGGTACAAGGAAGCACCAGATATATATGCGCCTCACAAATCTCATTCGATTTGCTTGAGGGCTGTGATACTGCTCAGGCGCCCAAACTGAAGCAGGTAGTTTTCTTAGGGGACCACACCCGGAGCCTTTGACCGAAAGATCTGATCCACATGGCAGTAGAGCATCGTGAGGAGATGCAGTCCCATGGTAGCCGGTGATCAACGATTGATTCATACGCCATTTGTTCCCTCAGGATATTGGAACCCATGTGCACCATTGGTTTGGAATCAGGGTTTTCCAACTCCCCTAGGTGGACCCTCCGTGTCCACCAACCCGGTTAAAGCGCCGGACATTCGCTTTTCGTCCTCTCACTTTCGTAAACAACAGTGATGCCAAGAGAAGGCAGTGAGTATGACTTCCTTGGCAGAGGCTATATATTCACTGGCCATATGAGAGCATTTTGAGAGGGAGAGCAGACTCTCCTCACTCTCGGCCGTACCAGGGCATTTGGTAGCCCGCTCCATAGTAAATCTTCATCAAATGAGGTGTTTAGAACATATGGTGCGTATGCTCAACCATTGACTCCCTCGACGGGAGATATTGTCTAATGTGGGAGTATACTGAAAGCTCGTGTTGGGCATACCAAAATGTGAAATTAATCCTTGAAGTAATAGACAACTGAACTGAGCCATGTTATTAGGCTTCCATTACCTGGTTGTAGTCCACGTGATTATCATAGCCCGTCGTTAGAAACTTTGGACAACTGGCTTTGCGATTAAGTCGTTCGATGTTAAGTTACTTAATCTAGGTTTTGAGCCTTGTTTTTTTGTAGAACTAGGCTTCACAAATATTGACGTGGAAGCAAAGTATCAGAGCATGTGTTTATGAAATATGTGAATATGTTTCGTTTATCCTATAAATTAGTACTACTGAATAAATGTTTGTGAAACTTGTCCTCGTATTATTGATATTTGAGCAAGTAGCTCCATAAACCCACACTTTCCATCACTAGATAATATATAGTAGAGGTGTTAACAGCATTTAGTCTAGACTATTGCATGCTCAGAAAAAGAGCAGTTAAAATCACGCTAATTGGTTCATTTTCCGACTAATCTGTGCTTGTGGATTTATCGAGAAGACACTAGAACACTTCTGTGTAGGTTTCCCGTGTACACTAACTTTTGCTGTTCGGACTTCGGAATACTCATTTATTTTGAGTTTGGCCCAATCAAGTGACGTTGTCTGTCTAAGGAATACTAAGCAGTAGAAGACATAATATCGCGTTTTTTAATTCTCTAGAAATTTCACAGTGTTGAATCCTGTGAGCTATTAAACTAATGATTTGAGTAAAATGAAGCTGGATGGAATAAAGGTAGAATAAAAAGCTAAGGATGACCTGAGGCGTCAGTCGCTTCTATTCCTCGAGTACTGTTTTTATCCATCTTCAGAAATGTAAGCTTCTGGGAGCTGCGGAGTATTTGCAATCTATTGTTACGTACATTAAATGAAGTATTCAAAAATCCTCCCCTCCCCCAATAACAGTTGCATTCAGTCTCTAGATTTTGAGTTTAATATTACTCCACACGTTCTCATCCTTCCACTTCGTTCATTACTTTTGAACTTCATACCCTTTTTTGGTTCTGGATTCTTTTAAATATTTTTACTCCTTTGGTTCTCATCTTTTTAAGCTCCTTTACTGTATTAGTGCTAGGTGTGCTAACCCGTAGGTCATATGCTGTCTACACCAAAGTGACTCAAACAGAAAATAATTATTTGTATTGAAGAAGTTCAAATTGCTTGAATAGGGTTGTTAACATATTACAAGGTTGCTGAGAAGTCTGTTAAATATCTGGATCCATATGGCTTAGAGTTACTGAAGTAGGAACCATAATCCCAGGTCATTTTACCTTAATGCATCTCCTTTTTACAGATTCCAACAAAACGACAGTATTTCATTGGAGTTGTTGGTCAAAGGGTTAGGCTTCCCAATCATTCGAAAACGAGTTAAACAACTACTGGGTCGTGCTATAACTGTATAAAATATATAGCCTTTATACAACAGGTGGGAATCAGAGCTTTTGCACGAGCCTTCAAGCATCCAGTGTTGCGTAATAGGAATATATATACTTTCTAAGTATACAACTTTGTATTTCGTTTTTGCCTTTTAGATATTATTCGTGTAACTCGTGGATTTTCTTCATACAGTTCGTGCACACATCGAATATATGATTATCTATTACCTACATTTGCCCTATCACCTGCTACTTCATCATTAAACGATTCCACTTGTTGGACTTATCGTTTGACAGTTGAACAAATTACCCAAGTTAATCGTTTACTTGAAAAGTATAAGGGTACTCATAATTTTTATAATTTCACTTCAGGAAGGTAAGTTATGGTTTATAAGATCAAGATTTTTCAACTTCTCTTCGTTGTGCGTATTATTTTTCTAAAAGATTAGATAATCTCTAGTCATTATTTTAATGTTCCAATAATTTCTTTTGTCTGTTCCTGATTAGTCAATCACAATTATTGACAGAAATAAATTATATATAAATTTAGTCACAGACTTGCGATTTGGAGGTAACCTTGCTAGCTCCTGATTTTTGATGTTCCGCATCATTTTGTGTCGGTTGCTTAGTGATTAATGCACGCTTTGAAAACAATAGTAGGTCACAATCTCAAATCTCACTCCACTCTCAGCGAGGTAATATCATCAGCCGTAACATTTAAAATGTATACATAAACCTATGTTTGATAGTTTTGTCCGATTATAGACACCATATTTCTGTTTGCCGAAACTACTAAGGAAGTACACAAGATTCCCTAAATCCGGTCCATATTCAACATAGAACCTATGAGTAGGTTAAAGTTGCTACACCACAACGAAATAAAATTAACAACTCCAGAGTAGTAGAAAATATTGAGTATAGGAAAAAAGAAACGAGAAGTTTTAATGAGATTTCGGAATTCAAGAACCGAAGGAGGATAAAGAATGAATGGATGTGTGTCATTGCGGGCATTTTTGAGCCATGTCACCCAAAGTCTAACCACTAGTTACGATGATCACACGGATCTTAACCAGGTAGTCTGAGCCTGCCTACACTGTTCAGTTCATTTACCAATGAATTCGTGAACTGATATCGCCTTGGTTTGACAGCGTACTACTACATAAGGAAACATAACTCGTCTAGTTAGCCGGTGGTTAGGTATACGCATACATACATACCCATCTCAACCACTTCAGTAAATGAAAATACACTACATTATCAGCCGATATATAAGGGTATTAAAGAATAAATTAATCTGCGTCATTTTAGTCCTCTTTTGAATCATGTCACCTACGTTCGCCAACCAATGGTTACAGTTAATGTTTGAATCTCAACTAGATAGTCTTCGCCTGCCAATATCGTTTAGATCGATAGTTAGCTTCCTTGTGAATAAGTGTCACGCTTTGGTTTAGTCACCCTTGGTTTTCTGTAACCTACTCCTAAGCCAGTCAACATTTGGCATCAAAATTAAATATTAAGCTTTGACACTGATAATTATTCCTCTTAGTAGCGCTCAAATTAAAACTTCTTCTATTTTAAATATATTTATTTGGGCGTCCTCTGAAAATTTAGATTATTTGAATAATAAATTCATTCAGTATTGTTTGTTTGAATCTTCCCATCGATTCGTTAGGACTGCAACTGATCAGTCTCTAATTGGCATATGTGCATACTGTGCGTATTGCCTCGATATAGCCTTAATTCACAAGCATGGTAAGCAGAGATGGATAGTGGCTAGTAGTGGATTCCAGGACGCGCGTTTCGCCGAGTGGATAACGCGATGGCGTTTGAAGCGAGGGTACTGGGTTCGAGTCCCAGAGTGAACATCAACTCTGAGATGCAGGTACATCCAGCTGACGAGTCCCAAATAGTACGAAACGCGCGTTCTGGATTCCACTGCTTGCCACTATCCATCTCTGCTTACCATATTTGAATAATAGATTAAACAATTTTTCATAGTTATTTAGTATCATTATCTCTCAATCACACAATATGTATAAGTCGACTGCTAACTGTTGACTATGGTAAATTCGACAAAGTATAGATATCGGTTCAGTATATCCCAAAATATGTCTTGAATACATACTGAATCATTAAACTAAATATTAAATCCTAGATGAATTATTTTTGTGTCTCTCTTCTATGTTGTCTCTTCACGAAAACACTAAAGCAGAAATTTCACCTGGTCTAAAAGTTTCTACCCTTTATCTGGGAACTGGACGTAATTTCATCTGATTGGTCCCAATCACTGATTGTGCCGGTCCATAAGAAAGGACAAAAGTCCTCTTGTGATAATTACAGAGGAATCAGTTTGACTAATATAGTGTCCAAAATATTACCTTCAATAATGCTTGGACGCCTAACCAAAGCTCGTGAAGAACAGACTAGAGAAAACCAGGCTGGTTTTCGACCTGGGTGTGGTTGCATAGACCAGATATTCACTCTACGTCAGGTCCTAGAACATAGACATACATTCAGACGCCCCACAATCGTAGTATTTCTTGACCTTAAGGCGGCATTTGACTCCGTTGATCGTGAGGTTCTATGGCAGTGTTTGTCACTGAAAGGAGTACCAAAGAAGTACATTACCGTTATACGGGCTCTCTACTCGAACACAACTGGTCGAGTTAGAGCCTATGGCCAACTGTCATCAGAATTGATTACCTCAAGTGGTGTTCGTCAGGGCTGTCCACTCTCACCATTCTTGTTAAACTTTGTCATTGACATGCTTTTAGAGATAACACTTTCCTCATCTCAATCTCCAGGAGTTGAACTTTTGCCGGGAGGCTCACTTGTTGACTTAGAATACGCCGACGACATAGTTTTATTTGGTAAAGAGGCTGACAAAATGCAGAGTCTTCTGACCACTATGAACAACAATGCAGGCATGTTCGGAATGCGATTCTCTCCCTCGAAGTGCAAAATGTTATTTCAGGATTGGGTTGCATCGACACCTGAACTAATCACAGGGAGTGAAGTAGTTGAGCGTGTTGACAGCTTCACTTATCTTGGGAGTCTCATCAGCCCTTGTGGTCTGGTTTGTCACGAAAATTACGTTAGTCACTAGGCCATTTCTCCATTAATAGATTTCCGTAGATTCCAAACTACAATATATTTTTGAGTCGAACACTAACTTAATATATTTGTAACGGACTTTTAGAACAAGTTCATTTCATTTGTTGTACGTAGACAAAATACTAAACTCCTTTTGTAGCTCTTTTAGGAATACCCCCAGTCCTAAGCCCGGGTAAAGGAGGAGGTTTGGGCATGGGATCAGCAACCCTATCCTGTAGTAAATAAGCATGTTTAAAGATCGCTAACCAGAATAAACCATTAAAAACATTTAAACTCTGTCCTGGGAGTTATAGGATTATGACCCCTCGTGGTGGAAGCCGATATCATTTAAAAGTCATGAAGCCGATGCCCCTTCTAGCAACCAGAGCAACAATTAAAACAGGTAAAAGGAATGCTCAAACAATGGGAGTGACAGAGCTGATCAACCAAATAGCTACGGAAATGAGGAGATAAAACGGAATCAGCGAAAACCATTGGACCCAAGGAGAACGGAAATGAATAGATTCGGGAGAGACGCTACTGTACTATGTTGACAAGGAAGAAAATACTCCGCACACCCAGATAGTTGTTCTGATGCTGTTCTAAGGATCAAGTAAAGCACTTATAGGATGGGAATCTCATGAACCCAGGATCATCAAAGCACCCTTCAAAACAAAGAAGGAGGGAATCACAATGAATGTTTTCCAATGTTATGTACCAAACAATCGTAGCGATGACGACGATAAAGATCAGTTCCATCAGAGGCTGCAATCAATCATAGCGAAGTGCTCAGGAAGGGACCTGACCATCCTGATGGGAAGCTTAAATGCGAAAGTTGGAATGGACAACATCGGGTATGAAGATGTCATGGTACGACATGGACTGGCTTGCGGAAAGGAACGAGAATACAGGTGAAGAAAACCAGTGTAGTAGCAGCATGCCTCAACAAACAAAAGAGAAAAAGAAAGATCCTAAAACACAACACAGTGATTAACAACCAAATCACACTTGATGGAGCCTTGAAAGAGGTGGAAACTTTTGCATATCTGGACAGTAGACGCAATAAACAAGTGGAATCTAATGCAGACGTGAAGGTACGCTTTCGGTGAGCAAGGCCGGTCAGTCAGCTATAACGTAGGACCAGGCACATAAATGCATCAGTTCAAGTTGCCACACCTCATTAGCACAACAAGATGAATACGAAATTCATTATTGTTTATATATTTATTTAAACACATAAATATTGTTACAAGGAAGCATCAGATAAATATGCGCCTCACAAATCTCATTTGATTTGTGTGAGGGCTGTGATGCTGCCCAGGTTATTTTAATGGTGGTAATATATAAAAGAAACATTGTATAAGAAGGAAGACAGATATAAAGCAATTTTAATCTCATAGCTTAAGGGAAGGCAGAGAGTATATACACCTACGCCATTGTGATCTATTCTGAGCCATGTCATCCAGAATCTCCAACCATTGGTTACGATAGTCACGCGAACCCCAACCAAGTAGTCTGCATCTACCGACATGGCTCAGAATAGTTGGTGGCTTCAAGCACTGATGCCACATTTTGGTTTGGCCGCCCCTAACACTTCCAACCATCCCCAATACTAGTCAGCATTGCGCGTCGTGGTAATCGGTGTTCAGGCATACGTAACACGTTGCCTCACCATCTCAGTTGATGAAGATCCACAACCTCATCAACTGATTTACCATCATTCCCTAATACCCTGCGTCTTACCCCACTATTACTCATCCGGTGTTCCCAGCAGATGCGAGCAATATTTCTAAGGCATCTGTGGTCTAATACTAGTAACTTGCGAGTATCTTCTACTCTTAATGGCCACGTTTCTCAGCCGTAAAGTAGGACAGAACGAACTGCTGCACAGTATACTCGTCCCTGAATTGATAGACGGATATCTTGTCTTCGCCATAGGTGACGTAAGTTGGCAAAAGCCAAACGAGCTTTTTGAATCCGTGCTGAGATTTCGTCAGACACCAACCCATTAGGGCTGATCAGACTTCCAAGATAAGTGAAGTTGTCGACACGTTCGACTACTTCACTCCCTATCCTTAGTTCAGGTGTTGATGCAGACCAGTCCTGGAGTAACAAATTACATTTAGATGGGGAGAAACGCATCCCAAACATCCTGACATTATTACTCAGTTCTAACAGAAGACTGCATTTTGTCAGCGTCTTCATCAAACAGGACTATGTCATCTGCGTATTCTAAGTCGATAGGTGGACAGCATTCCTACAGTTGAAGAACATATGCAACTCAAAACAACTGTCACCCAATATCAAAGTCAGATTCTTCAATACAAACGTTAGGACAGTTCCACTGTAAGGAGCTGAAACTTCGAGAACTACCACAACAATCATCATAAAGTGCAAGTATCTCTAAACAAATGTCTATGCAAGATACTTCATGTCCGTTGGTTGAATACTGTCAGCGACAGCTTACTGTGGGAGAGAACAAACCAGCTTCCAGTTGAAGAGGAAATTTGGAAAAGGCGATGGAAGTGTATAGGACATACATTGCGGAAACCATCAAGCTGCATCACGAGGCAAGCACTACTTTGGGATATTGAATTGAAACATAAAAGAGGAAGACCAAAGAGCACACTTAGTCGGAATATGGAAGCAGACATCAAAATGATGAATAACGACTGGAAAGGACTGTCCAGTACAGAGTTTGATAGAGAATGCTGGTGGGCGGTCTATGCTCCTCCAGGAGGGGTAACATGCATAAGTGAATAAGGCAGAAAACTAGTATGGTTACTTATTATAACTGCGATTACAGCTGGTTACCTGTCTCTATGTAACTGAACTAGGACTAATACGGCTCAGTGTATGGAAGAAGGCAAATCTACAGATAATGCTTTATCATGACCACAAATAAATCCACAGCATACAACCTTCGATCATAAACGATATCAAAATATGGTTTTCTTATGGTATACCTAATACTTTAATTAACATTTATAGCTAAATTGCTAAGTTATATATTATTCTCCTTAGCATTTAGCGTTTTTAAGTCGATGCAATGTCCAAATATAACTTCGGAACATCTTCTAAAAATTGATAGTGACTCAAACCGAAAACGTTGACTAGGGTGTGAATTAATCAGTAACATCACTACTGACCGTGATATTAGATTACATGGACTCCAATCTCACGAGTATCATTAGTTCTATCAAAATTAAACATTCTCTTTCTTAAGGAACAGCAGCTTTCACGAGATTTTGGTGAACCATAGCTTTTCGCCGATTACCTTCAACTGCCCAATATATAAATGATGTACAATGTTTTTCAATAAGTTGAAAGTGAAGTGATCTATATCTTTGTTTTTCAATTATTTATTAGTCTATTTTCGTACTATTCATCCCGATATTTAAACTTTTCTTTTGATTAATTTTAACGCAAGACTTGTAACGGATCGTAGTTGTAGTCGATATATTATATCGGCCGAATGTATGCCTACATTTTTACTCGGTGAGCATCAATATACTATTATACGTATTGCTGGTCAGTCGTTTATGCTGCATCAAATACGTAAAATGATTGGTTTAGCATTAGCTGTTCTACGTGGTTATGCAACAGAAGCTGTGTTCGATATTGTGTTCAGTAAAGAAAGAGTAAGAATAAAATATGTACTGTGTAAATTTCCATATTTATTACTAGTTATTGATTATTTATGTGCTTACGTACGAATTGTTAGTCTGTCTCCTAACCACTTTATTTATCTGCATAGTTGGATAAGCCATAAAGATAAGCTGTCGGTACTTTCTAACCCAGACCACACATTCCATTCAACAAATAAAAGTAACCATAACGTTGTTTCCTACTGCTCTAGTTATAATTGACGCAAACCTGAAGAAAGTAAAAAAGTTTATGAAGTAATAAATATTGACGGTTTCGAAAAATTACTTATATGTGGTTACTCATTTAAGCCTAGTTACGCTATTACAGCATAGTCCGCCGACCAGGAATCTCCAACTGACCCTGTATTGGGTTCTCTCTTCCAGCTGCTACAATTCGGATTCGTCGTTTTGATGTTTATCACCCATTTACTTTGAGAACTCCAAGTTAAAGCTTACCGTGAGGTGCAGTTTGATAGTTTCCGCAATGTATGTCCTATACACTTCCATCGTCTTTTCCAAATTTCCTCTTCAACTGGAAGCTGGTTTGTTCTCTCCCACAGTAAGCTGTCGCTGACAGTATTCAACCAACGGACTCTTATCTGAAGGCATTAGCCAGGATAACGAACGGAGTTACACGCTCTAAACGTGATAAATGTGCCTTCATTCAGTAGTAGAAACCCACGTATATGGTTTGCACAGGTGGAACTGCAGTTTCAGCGTCATAACATTCACAGGAATCAAAATACTCTTTTGTGCTTGGAATTCTACCGACTGAAGTAGCATCTGAGGTATCAGATCTCATAGATAATGTCCCTGTATCAAATTCCTATGATCAGTTGAAGCAGGCTATTATCCAACGTACCTCACTTTCGGATGAAAAGAAGCTACAACAATTACTGCATGAGTGTGAGCTAGGTGACAAGTTATGCATTCGCGAGTTTGTTTCTGCAGTTTGAGGGTGAATTCTCCAACCTATTGGTTGTCCTGACGAATCGTTTTATGAAATTTTCCTCGTTCACGGTATTCGAAATTTGTACACTTTACAAGATTTGGTTGTTAAGAGTTGTGTAGGGAAGTGAAGTAGGCTTATCTAGACATGCTTTCAGTTGAGTGTTAGGAAATGAATCACGATTTCATAACCCCTATCAAGTTTCTGGGTCATACTCCAGAATACATACATTTCCATACATTCATCGGAAGTTTCAAGAATTGAGATTAACTTCAACTGTTCAGTCACAGGCTCCGTAGTGACGACAACATATAAATTAAAAGTATTCTAATTATAGTCAGTTATGCGTGTTACCACTCGTGTAAGAGTATAGACTGCCCACCAGCATTCTCTATCAAACTCTGTACTGGACAGTCCTTTCCAGTCGTTATTCATCATTTTGATGTCTGCTTCCATATTCCGACTAAGTGTGCTCTTTGGTCTTCCTCTTTTATGTTTCAATTCAATATCCCAAAGTAGTGCTTGCCTCGTGATGCAGCTTGATGGTTTCCGCAATGTATGTCCTATACACTTCCATCGCCTTTTCCAAATTTCCTCTTCAACTGGAAGCTGGTTTGTTCTCTCCCACAGTAAGCTGTCGCTGACAGTATTCAACCAACGGACATGAAGTATCTTGCATAGACATTTGTTTAGAGATACTTGCACTTTATGATGATTGTTGTGGTAGTTCTCGAAGTTTCAGCTCCTTACAGTGGAACTGTCCTAACGTTTGTATTGAAGAATCTGGCTTCCTTCAACGTTCGCACACTAATGCAGATCGGACAACAGATAGGGCTGGCTATGTCTTTGGAAGGTCTTAATGTTGATGTTTGTTGTCTATCCGAGACCCGTATTCAAGACTCTAGTGAAGTACTACAAATCATCATGGAATGAGTCGATAGTCGTCCCTATCTTTAAAAAGGTTTCACGTTGTTCCTGCAATAACTATCGGGGGATAAATCTACCTTCGATTGCGTCCAAACTATTTGCTTCTATTATTATTCGTAGGTTGTTTAAAACCCAAGAACGATTGACTCGCGAGGAGCAGGCTGGTTTTCGTTCTGGTCGAGGATGCATTGATCACATCTTCACCCTCCGCCAAATGTTAGAACACCGTCATAATTATCGCAGGCCAATAATCGTAGTGTTTCTTGATATCAAGGCTGCCTTCGATTCGTTGGACAGGACTGTTCTCTGGGATTGTCTATTGAAGAAGGGTGTGCCTGAGAAGTTCATTAACATCTTAAAGGCCGTGTATACGAACACCTCAGGCAGAGTGAGGGCATACAACCACTTTTCTCCCTTGTTCCATTCGAGCAGTGGGGTTAGGCAGGGCTGCCCGATCTCACCATTCCTCTTCAACTTTGCTATCGACGACATCTTGGAAACAGCTCTGATGGATGTAAGTAATGGCGGTGTGGATATGTTGCCTGGAGAACGACTTCTCGACCTCGAGTATTGGTTTCTCAAGGCTGAATGTCAATTTCGTAATCTTGATATTGTAGAAATAACCTTATTAACATAAGTTGAAATGTATTTGTAAAAAGCCTTTGTCAACTTTTTATGTGTATGACCTATTTTACGGTGAAACAGAAGGATTAAGAAATGCCCATTTATATTTTCATTACCTGCTTATTGTAGTTTGAATATTTGATCCACCATGCATCCGAATATGTCAGGTTGACTGAATCCATATCTGCATCCTAATTTTTATCTATTCCTTCATTGCTTGTTAGCTTTGTTAATCATTAAGTTATGCATCAATTTACATTGACATTGAAAACACGCATATATATATATATATATATATATATATTCCTTCTCTCATCTCACATTTTTGAGTGTACCTCCTAATCTAATTAATTGTTACTAGGCGCCCTCGCAAGATAACTCGTTTTCTTGCTATTCTTTAGGGAACACAACGATACTTTTATTTATTTATTTATTTATTATTAGCTTTATTCAATATTATATTTTTGGTACAATATAGAATTCTCAGCACAAAGTACTTCAACAGGTTTCCTTTTCTTACTTCTTCGTCCTTCCTGACGATAAATATTGAGTGATCGCCAGTTATAAGTTAGCAACCCAGTCAATCGACATCTAAATAATGTACATTCTTCTCGCTGCACATTTCCAGCAACCACGATATCTCTGATTGGGCCTTCTGTAACCTTTACAGCGTTAGGTCTTACACTTTTCAGAAACGCACCTGAATAGGTGCGATTAATAGGCATAATGATGTATTAAAACAAACGAAATTAGATAACTTGTTGAAATATCTAGATGACAGGAACAGGTAGCCCAGATGTTTAAACAGGCCGCCAGAATTAGCCTAAAAGTAAACACACATGTAAACGGCTCAGTAGAGTTTGAAGTCATTCAAGAAAAGGAAATCAAATGTATTCGTTCTTAAGTGTATTTTCTGAATCTTTCCTATAGCCATGAATAATTTTCTAGGAGGTTCATTATCGCCTACTATTTCTTTACTAACCAATTCACTGATAAGGTAATGAGATGGAGTTGTAGACAAACCATTTTTGTTTCCGTGTTGTTATGAATAAGTCATATGTGGGAATCATTACGTGTTCTGTCATTCTTGCCTCTCCAACTCGTTTAATATCCACTAGTTTTTGTGAGTTCGCTGTAAACCATGTAATTTAAAACAAAACTCGAAAGTATGTAGATATCACTACCAAAGTTTGACCTAATAATTTCAAATAAACTGAACCTTGGGTGAACTATTATTAATAAAAATAAAAATGCATTCGTATTGTTGTGAATGAGAACACGAGTGGGGACAATCGAATGTATTTAGGCACAAATTACAGACTATCTCAATAAATTCTGATAACCATCCTGTAAACAGTCGATTTGCAAAATAACAATCAATTGTTTCAATGTTGACTGTTCTTTCTGCAAACATCAGTCCGTCTTCTCTGTTTTTATTGTTCGTTCATTTTCGTACTGATTGCGCTTCATTTCTGTTCTTTCCTTATCGATCTTCTGCCAAAATACATTCAATGCCTGACCATCACCATATACTACTTATATAAGTAGACCACTTCGCAATATTATCCCATTGAGTAAAAAAAAAATTTTCAGACTTTTTGTAACTCAGTGTAAGCCTCATCTCCAGAGAATAGAAAAGAAATATATATGTATAATTTAATAAAACTCGAAATTAGTTGGTTCTGTTCAGATTGACTTATCTCTGTGCTACACTTTCAGAATTATTGTTAAATTTAAAAGTCCTACCGTATATGTATTAGTTTGTGTCTTCGTCACCATAATGAGAGTCCGCAAATTAGTCCTTGTTTTATGCTTGTAATAACCCCGTCTATTTGTGTTTTTTTGACTGAACCGTAAACAACCTCAAATGAATTAACTTCGTAATTTTTCGACCAAGTATGTTTTATTAATTGGAATTTTTATCGAATTAAACTACTGTTCCAACAGTGTTTACAGATTGAATATTTCATGCTTAATGGAGTGTTCAACGTTGTTCGCACTGTTTTATTATACACAGTGTGTCATAGTTAGCACTTTCTATTATTTTTTCGTTTAATTAGAAAGTCAATTTTGTGCATCAGATTGTAATTTTCATTAAAGACTTCAAACCGTTACATGATTGTTTCACTTATGTTTTTCATCTGCGTTGTCAAGCTTCAGTACACTGAAAGTGTAAGATTTTTCGCAGTAATAGTGTAGTAAACGAGAACACAAGTGGGGACAATCGAATGTATCACAATACAAAATTACAGAGCATCTTAATAAAATCTGAGAACCATACTGCAAATACTTCATTTGCAAAATATCAGTCAATGATCTCAAACTTGACTGTTCGTTCTGCGAAATGTCAATAAATCGTCTCAGAATTCATTGTTTTTTTGTTTGCACACTAATTATTGTTTGTTCTCGTTCTCTTTTCTTTGATCTTCCTAACCTTCATCCTCCAGGTATTTCACTTTTGATGGATGATACATACTACTTATATCTATCGACATCAGTAGTACACACCACAGTAGTAATAGTACCGAATGTAATATGCGAACTTGTAAATCCCCAGATCTAAGCACTACGTATCGTAGTGGTCAAAAAACACTTTAGACATTATATTGAATCTCACATTTAGGTATATACAAAACAATTATTATTTTATGCGAACACTATAATATATTCATGACAAATAGTTGCCGATATCTCCATCCAATTCAAGTGAATTCTTTAATAATGGGTACAGTTATGTCCAGAATCTACTCACCAAATGGACGGGAAAATGATTGAATGTCCTACGTACGGTGTACACCTGGCGAACATTAGGAACATTGCAGATAACCTCAACTTTAAATCACTTGTCGTTCGCGAGTTGACAATGTAATTCATATATAAAGCTGTGCCTTACTAATTGGGTTGCTTGCATCTCATTGATTGGAGTGAGGCATTCTCCAGCTATATATGTTTAGGCAGTAAGTTTTTGATATTACTATTCTTCATATAATTAATGAGACTAAAAACCTTGAATACATGAGCGTACACTTGGGCTTAAGGAGTTACAAAAGACTACCATCATGTTTTCATTACTATTGAATTTGCATAGTATACTAATGAATGGAGCCATTTCATTAGGTTTAGTTGTGTGTTTCTGTGGCATAAGAACGCACAACGTGTATTGGCAGTTTCCAACTTTTGTCATTCAATTTGAAGAAATACACTGTGTTGTCATTTTTATGCTCATATTTCCCTTTCATTTTTATGTAGATAGATATACCAAAAGCTCCAGGACTAGGTCTTATGCTTAACCAAGTGGACTTTAGTCAGTATAATACAAAATATCAAAATGATGGTATCCATCAACCAATTGATTGGAGTAAATACGAAGTGAGTTTTTTGTATCATACTCCTGCTTGCGTTATGAACTTAATATAAGTAATCTTTTTTGTTGAAGTTTGTTCGTGAACTATTTTCATTTCCAATGAAGTTTTCGATACATGTTTTTTATATCACATAATGAATAGAGGTTGTACTAAATTGGCTAAAAGCCTAGATTTAGGATATTATGTACGAAGTTATTTCCTTCTCGTGGCAGGGGTGTTGCTTACGAAATTGAAAGGATGAAAAGCGAATGTTCGGCGCTTAAACCGAGTTGGTGGGTATGGAGGATCCTACTAGGGGAATTGGAAAATCCTGATCTCGAACCAGTGGTGCAGATGGGCTCCAGTATACTGAGGGAACAAGTGGCATATAAACCTATTATTGGTCACTCTACCATGGGACTGCATCTCCTAACGATGCTCCACTGCCTTGTGGATCAGACCTTAAGGTCAAAGGCTCGGGATGTGGGGGCGCCTTAGGAAAACCACCTGCTTTGGTCTGGGCACCGCGCAGTATCCCATCTCTCACACAAATCGAAGTTTCAATGAGGCGCATATCTATCTGGTGCCTCCTTGTACCAATCTTTATGTTTAAATAAATAGATAAGTACAAAGTTATTGGTACTGGTACCAAGTGGTTGAATTACAAGTCAGTGTTTTACGTCAGTGAGGTTAATTGTTTTCCAGTCCTGGTTTTGATTCCTACTGGTGCATGGTCGCAAAAGTCCTGATACAGTCTAATGCGTCATTCAAGTAATAATCATGAAACATTTAATCCCGCTATAGTAATTTCATTTTACTTAAAAATATAGTGGTATGTTTGCTAAGTAAGGAAATTCTTCGTAGTTGTTCTGCTGGTGGATAGAAGCTATCCGGTCAGTCAGCTGTAATGTAAGACCAGGCATATAAATGCATCAGTTCAAGTTGCCACACCTCATTAGCACAACAAGATGAATACCAAATTCATAGAAGTAGTTAATTTAATGGTGGTAATATATAAAAGAAATATTGTATATAAGGAAGATAGAAAGATATGAAGCAATTTTAACACCAACCCATTAGGGCTGATCAGACTTCTAAGATAAGTGCAGTCGTTGACACGTTCGATTACTTCACTACCTCCTGGTAGGAGATGAATTCTTGAAAATTCAGTCGACAAGAGTGTTATTTCCAGCAATAGGTCTATAATGAAGTTAAACAAAAATGGGGATAGTGTACAGCCTTGTCGGACACCACTTGAGGTTGTAAAATCAGATGGCAGTTCGCAATGAGCTCTCACTCGACTGGTAGTGTTCGAGTAAAGAACCTTCACAAGGTTTATGTACTTCTGAGGTATACCTTACAATGGCAGACACTGCCACAGTGCCTTTCGTTCTACAGAGTCAAATGCGGGTTTTAAGTCACGAAAAATTATCATTGTCTGATGCCTATATAGTTGATTTTGGTCTAAAACCTGACGAATAGTGAATATGTGGTCGATGCAGTCACGACCACATTTTCAGTGAGCCTGATTTTCTCGTGTTTGCAGTTCATGTGTCTTAATTAGGAGCCCGATAGTTACTGAGGACAATATTTTAGATGCTATGTTAGTCAAACGAATCCCTCTATGGTTATCACAGGATGATTTTGGCCCCTTCTTATATATTGGGACAGTAAGTGATTGTGATCAGTCAGATGGGATTACGTCCAACTCCCAGATTTTAGCTAAAATATTAGTCAACCTAATCGCTAAAATTGGACCACCTGTTATAACTTGTTTATATATTCCTTATTACGACCCAGCGATTCCTATTGTTTAGTATTTTTGGACACCAATACACTCGACAAGTCCACAAATCAGAACACTGTTGGACAGGGAAGAGATTATATTCCAAATAACAGGAATAGATGAAGTAGGAAGCGCAATAAAAAATACGTTAGTATATTTATAGATTTTACATGAGAAGCTTCTAGAGTCTTCTCCAAGCAACAACTAGAGCTGATTGGATAAGAATTAGTCAATCAGCGTGCAGCAACACCATCATGCATGAAACATGCTTTAATTCAATCTATGTCCCGCTAACACCACCATATCTAAAGACCTCTGGAGCCAATCTGTTTGGATCAGAAGCTCTTCCTCGCTTCACATTAGTTATAGCCTTTTGAACTTCAATTAGGGTCGGGGACCTACTTCAATGTTCCATTCAGACTGTCTGGGAATGGTGGGTAACTGTAGAGTAGCTAAAGGCCAGCTAAACTGTTCTCTAAAGTGTTCCGCCCATTTTTTAAACGTCTTGGCTGGGAGCAGATAAGAGTTTCGTCTTTTTCCGAGATTGTCTCGCTTACACTTGACTTCTTAATTCCGGTTTCTTTTATTAGTCTGAAGAATTGTCTGGTGTTGCCTACAGCTACTGCCTTTTTCATTTCTTTTGCTTTCGTTGCCCACCACTGCTCACGATCGTTGCGTAGACTTTTTGTCAACCTAGTTCTGATTTGCTGTCGCTCTTCATCGTGTTCAGAGCCTGATGGGATGAGTTTACGAGAATCCATCAGTGCAATAGACTTAGAAGAAATCCATTGGTTTTTTGTAACCCTTTGGTTTAAATTACTAATAGATGTTACTACTGTTTCCACAGCTGTTCGTATATCTTTCCAAGCAACATCTGGGTCAGCCTCGTCTACAAAACTGCCTAAATGTGAACTCAGTTGCTCTTGGAACTTAATTTTAGCTTCCTCGTCCCTCAGTTCAATTCTAATGGGTCTTCTTAGTGTGGTTTTTCTGCGTCCAGTGAGGCGCAAGAAAATGCGTGCTCGTATTAGAGCATGATCAGAGTCTAAACATGTATTCCAGAAGGAGCGAAAGTCTTCTATCTAACCTCTCCAACGATGACTAGTGGTCTATTTGAGCCCATCATTGGTTTGGTGCAAGGGGTCGCCATGTTAGACGAAGTCTCTCCTTATGTTTAAAATTAGTGTTTACTAAAAATAAACGATTGTCTGGGCACAGTTGCAACAGACTATAACCACTATCTGTTCGCTGAGCTGGAATACCTAAATATCTTTTTGTTTGGTTTAAGCTTCCTACTTGGGCATTAAAGTCACCCGTTACGAGTACTATGTCTGAGCGCTTAGCTTTTTGAAGAAGTTCAGAGAGCTTTCTGTAAAAGTCATGTTTCGCTTCACCCGCGCTGCAGTCAGTGGGAGTGTAGGCAGAAACGACGAAAAGGCAACGATGTTTGTCCCTATCCTCCCGAATTCTTACGGATCGCCCCCAAATGCTCTGGTCTGGCCGAGAGTGGGGAGAGCCCGCCCTCTCTCTCTAAATGCTCTTACACGGCCACACGTATACAGTCTCTGCCAGAGAAGTCCTACTCACGGCCTTCTCGTGGTGAGGGTGTTGTTTACGAAATTGAGAGGACGAAAAGCGAATGTCCGGTGCTTTAACCGAGCCAGTGAGTCCACCTAGGGAAGTTGGAAAACCCTGGTTCTAAACCAATGGTGCCCATGAGCTCCAAGTTCCTGAGGAAAGATGGCGTATGAACCTAGTGTTGGTCACCGGCTACCATGAGACTGCGTTTCCTCACGATGCTCCACTGCCTTGTGGATCAGACCTTTAGATCGAAGGCTCCGGGTGTGGTCCCTTAAGAAAACCATCTCTTTCGGTCTGGGCTTCCGGGCAGTATCATAGCCCTCACACAATTAGGTGAAATGACAATTTTTTGTGTGGCGCATATATATCTGGTGCCGCCTTGTACCAATATTTCTGTGTCAAAAAAATAAATTACGTATCTGTTTAGTCGAAAAACACATAGGCGACTATTAACGGGGATCAATTATAATAGTGCTTTTTCTGGAGTGCTGTTAGAGATATGAGGGCGGTTGACCACACCGTGGAAGGGTTCTTTTGGAGGTTCCTGAAAAGGAAATTGGGTTAGAGGTGTTCTTAGTGCTCCGAGAGTGTGACTGCAGTGCCCAAGGGACAACTGATTGAAACCAGTCACACACGACCTTTTTGTGGGTAATTTTCGTGTCAGCTCTGTATTTGTTGGGACCTTACTGCCGGAGACGGAAATCCGTGGAATAAGGCGAGGTGTGTATTTCGGGGTCGACCTTCTCCAACCCCACATCTCCTTGTGGGAAGTCGGAGAGAGTGTTTTCTGCTTTAAGTCCTACCACTCTTCAACCGACCTGTCTGGTATGGTAGGACCTTGAAGGATGATTGTTCCAGTCAATATAGCTGGACTGGTTTATCACGATAGGCAGGCCCAAACACCACGTCAAGGTAGCCGCAACGGTCGGGTAGCTATCGTGTATTCGGTTCTGAAGAGTTTGAAAATGCTACCTTATTAGCTTTCACTGGTTCTTTGTTATTGACGTAAGTTCGTAACAAAAATTTACTATTCATTTCTTCTATCGTTTTCTACAAAACACCGTAGTCAACCTTAACCCACAAACTCGATATCCCAACACTTCTTTGCCTTTCACGAATTAGAATACAAACGTTTATTCAAGGAAGAGCATTCGATTGGTATGAAGAATGACGCAACAGTTAATTTTTTTCCTGTTCATTATATCCTTGTTTTCCAGTGTTAGACTACTGGAGGCAAAACGTCGGTTTTTTCTAGGTTTCTTGTTTGCTGAAACCTATCAATGAAGTATATCTTTATTCTTAGAACAAATGGTACTGCCTAAGATAATTCACTGTCAATACTCGCTGAAATGACTATACAGCTATTCGAGTGTCAACCAACTTATTATAGGACTGGATTTTTTAAACACTGATCACAAAGCAGTAGTATTAAACAGTGCTATACTATTCTAGTCGTTAGCGCTGATAGGAATCTAATGTGCAGTTTGGGTGTTTTATCGAATTTTAAACAATTTAATTTGCCTGTTTTTTTCCGTCTTATTAATAGGAGCAAAGAAACGAATTCAAGATGCATTATGTATATGAACATATTGATCTAATTGAGTCGAAAGAAAACTCGTATCCTTTCACATTTATGAAGTATTCAATGTTGGATTGTTATCCGTCCTACGGTCATCCATGTACATATGTAATTAAGTTTCAGTGTGTAATTTGTTGCTTGCAATCGTGGCTTCTTAGAAAAGGTGGTTATGTAACATTAATCGTTTTTCTATTTTTGGAGTAGAGAGCCTGTACAAGGTTAATGTACTTTGATACTCCTTTCAATGATAGACATTGCTACAGAAGTTCACGATCAACAGAGTCGAACGCTGCCTTAAGTTCTGGGAATACAACTGTAATCGGATATCGAAAAGTATGTTCGTGTTCCTTTAACTGCGTTTCGAAAATGCAACAAGATTTTCGAGTCCTAGATTAAGAAGCATGTCCTATCTGACATATTATTTTATTTAATTACATACATATTGGTACAAAGGGCACCGGATACATATGCGCCACACTTTTGTGTGAGGGCTGTGATACTTCCCGGGTGCCCAAACCGAAGCAGGTGGTTTTCTTAGGGGGCCATGCCCTGAGCCTTTGGCCTAAAGGTCTGATCCACAAGGCAGTGGAGCATCGTGGGGAGATGCAGTCCCATGGTAGCCGGTGACCAACGATTCATTCATACGCCATTTGTTCCCTCAAGATACTGGAGACCATGTACACCATTGGTTTAGAATCATATATACTTCGAACTACCCCAAAACTTACTTAACTCTACAAGTCACGATAATAATAGTTGTCATTTCTTGGTCGCCCACACAATGGAAGAATACTTCCTCATGTGTCGCTATAGGAGACCTAGTTAACTTCGTCCTAGTGACCTGGGAGTGAGACCGCAGAACTGAAGGTACAACTACTTTAGGTCTGCTACACGTGTTCATTTTGTGGAGAGATTTCGGAATACTGGATCATCACTTTTCGAACCCTTGCACAGGTGGCAGTAATCTGTGAAAAAAAGGTGAACTGCGTTACTTTAGATTCGACCTATTATGAAAAGTCAGCACCACCGGGTTGCTAGTTGTGTAGAAGTCCCTTTCGCTCCTCATACTCGTGTACAGATGGCAATATAACTTTCTCCTCTAACCATAGATCGGGTTCTCTTGTCGCTGTTTCCTCTGCAACCTACTTGTCTAGGTTGATAATACATAAAGGACCAAATTCCCCGATCAATATGAATCCACTTAGTTACCACAATAGGCAACCTGGTCTACCAAGTCAATATACCACTCGTGTTCTGGCAACATTATTTGTGGTTGTGGTCTCAGAATTCCATGTGTTCGTTGTGTTCTTTAAGATGTTAACATGTTTCCAACATCCTTCAATTTCTTTAACTTTTGTCAATTCTATTGTTATTGTTCAGTATGTTTCGATGGCTTTCTACATTGGATAATCATACATATAGTTTCAGAGATTCTCCATCTCCTCTGATTGTTGCTGATAACGGTTCGAAAACAGATGATACTCAGATAGCCAATCAAGATTATGTTTCCATTCGCACACCATTCAACATTAAAGATAATCTAAATAAAAATGATGTTTCAGAGTGTGATATACCTGTTAAAAAAGAAAGGTTGGCATTGTGAGATATCTGTCCAATTTTTTTATCATGTCGCCTAGTGGTTTTATAATAAATCGATGTTTATATTAGTCATAATGTAGTACTCTTTTTCCCTTTGCTATATATCTGCCAAATGTATGCGAAGAAATATAAATACAACTATTCTAAATAGAGTTCCGTCTACAATCGATTTTCAAAGTAGTCTTTCCCAAATATTAGTAATTTCCTTATCTTTGAAGATGATTAATAGGTAACAAACAAAGTCAGTAATTGATATTGGTAATGTAGCATCATAGAAGCAAGTGTACGTGTCATTCATTTGTCTCACTGGTCGATCGTTCTCTCAATCTCGATGCATTTATTTCCTGATAAATTAAGTAAATTAGTTGTCTGATTTCTTCACTGTAAAATAGTCCGTATGCCTTACTAATCACTATTTGATTTTCCAATTTTCCATAACTTATGCTCTTGCTGTTTCTTTCAAACTTTTCACTATTTATTTTAGTAGTCTTACATATTTTGACCCTTCATCAGTGTTTTTAGTGGTCCTAAGTTTTTTTACTTTTGTCTGCGATCTTATGCTTTTAGTGTGTTCTCAACGCTCGAAAAACCTGACTAGGTGAGGTTCCTTTGCCGAGTGCTGTCCAAATAAGGTTGTATTATATGTACTGTTACATGTAGGATGAAGATTGCTTGTAGTAATGTGTGGGGAGTCACCATAGTTGAGTTAACTTTCCTTGTTTCACTGCTGCATATAACTTACAAAGTGACTGCAAGATACTCTGCGACCTGTCTCGGTATATCGAGTATCCTTGTACTTAAGATGAGGTGTCTTTGTGCATCCAAGAATAATATGGGCAAAACAACTCTCAAATGTACCTTGAGTTTTTGCTACACAAGCGATCGTCATGTTTGCCACTAAAGTGTTTCTTATAGTAGATGTAGGCCGTGCTTCAATTATTACAGGATACGTTTGTGTTATAAGTGATAGTGTATAAAATTTCAATGGAGAGGACATTGTGTTTATATGTTAAAAATCAGTTTCGAGTACATTGTTGACACACAGTTGAGGTACATATGAAGTAGCTATTTGTACAATCAAATCTAAACGTGTTAGTGACTGTAAGATCGATGTGCCGTAGTTAACGTTGTCTTGCTGACAACTTTGTCGTATGTCATGTTAACAATTGTGGTAAAGCCGATTGTTTACTTATCGTTGGAGATTTCAACGTGACACATCAATTAGATATGGCTTACAACTTCAGGTGGATGTTTTGACGGCAGCCTACTACTAGCTTTATGCAGTGCGCACTTGTATAATTTACCTCAAAACCGACCATCATTGTTGGACTTTTTCTTCACACTCTACCGCGATGTTATTATCAACCTTCGGTATCTGCTCTAACCAGCCAATAGTGATCACCTACTGTAGTTTAGGTTTCGGACACCGTATACTGTATGTATCTGCTCCATCTCATCCCAATATTTGATATTCCGGCAATCAGAAATTGTGCTATCTCAACTAATTGGTCGGTAAGTCTAGATAGGGTAATGGAAAACGAATGAAATAAGTCTAAAACCAGATTCGAGGTTGTATCATTACCATTAAGTCCATGGTCAGGACGTAAGCCGTGACGTCGCACTTCATAGATCGTTGGGAGATGCCGAAAGCTGCTATGTTGTTTTGGAGGCACTTTCGAGGCTTTTTCTTGTTAACAGATGTTGTACCACTCAAATGTAGATACAAAAAACCGGGATATATATAAAAAGATATTTAGATGTCGCATTAATTACGAACGATAGCTGTACATACGCAGAACGATCGTTTTGTATAAAAGGCAAAGAATTAAGATAGTGATAGAATTCCTCTGTAGAAGTAAGTTAATTCCCAAAATACTTCAGTATATCTTCGACATTGATACTGACTAGACACCCCCTAGCTGAAGACGCTCGATCACAAATTTGCATCAGACCACAAGTGTGTACGTCGTGCTAAGCATTCTTTGTGATTACTAAGCAGCTTGGATAAGCACTTGTCGACATACCGACAGGTTCCCAAATACATTTTCGAACCACTTCATTTCTGATTTGACCAGGTTGGTACGCGTCGATTATAAAGGTGTTACATGTAAGGGCGTTGTCAAACTCTGAGTATCTGTTCCATCTTTGTGTTGAGCCTGACGTGATCTGGTACACCGAACTGATGTGTGGGCGAGAATGATAATGATTGTTTTGCTGTGTCAAACATGTAGATAGTGTGACAGGTGTTATATGACTTATGTATTCCCCTATCCTCATTATTATTGGTTGACTGTTCCTTGCTGTTGGATTGTGTCGGATTTTGGTGTGGAAATATATTGACGTTCTAGTGAGGCTAATCTCGTGTTCTTGATCTGAGTTGCGTTGAAGTTTTGTGGAATAGACACTGGGTGGGAATCTAGTGTAGATATTCGTCTAAGGTAAACTAACGTCCCACATGCGTGTAAAAAGTGGAAGGACTGTTATAACAAGAAACCCTAGTGTTATAACAAGTATCCTACAGTTTATAACAATTGGCGACGGTGATTAAAACGGATCTACGCTTACATATTCAGTTGAAGTGAATTTTGTAACAACAAAATGGATAGTCTGAAAACCTTATTGCAACATCAAAACTCTTTTATCGAGTTATTAGTCAAAAATATGTCAATATCCGCAAGAACAAATGTGCCTTATTCCACTAGGACTCCGGATTCTATTGCAAATTGAACAACTAAATTTAGATTAGTTCCAGAAAGTGGAGTAACTTTTGAGGCGTGGTTTAGACGCCATGAGGATTTGTTCATTAATGAGTGTAAAGAGTGGGAGGAAGGATCAAAACTGAGATTATTACGAAAGCTCGGAGTTTCCGAACATGAAGAATTCTGCAATTTTATCTTCCCAGAGAAGCCAACCGACAAAACCTTCAATGAAACAGTAGAGTGCCTGACACATTTGGTGAACGATCATCAGTTTTTCACGGTAGATACCAGTGTCTCCAGTTTGTAAAGAAAGCACAGGGCTACTATGTAACGTATGCATGCATCGTGAACCGGGAATGTGAGCGCTTCTGTTTACAAGAAATGTCCACAGATCAGTTCAAATGCCTTACTTTTGTCTGTGGAATACAATCTCCAATAGATGCAGATATTAGAACACAGATTCTAGCGAGAATCGAACAAGATCCTAATATCAATCTGCAATCAGTATCCGAAGAAGCATGACAAGAGTTTCGTAGAAAGGAACAGTGAACACGGGAGATAAAGCTTTTCGGAAATCTTTTAGTGAAAATAAAGATGTGAAATCCCAAGTCAAATGAAAACCAAAAGATCTTGTTGTCGATGTGGTAAGTCTATTGTGACATTTATATCCAGTGATTTTTTGTAAAGACAAATTAAAGATCACATATTTTTTCCTATTTGTCACACTTTATATGTAACCACATTTATATACAATATCTATTGTTATTCTGTATCAATGGTGAAGAAACGAATATATTCATTTGATTACATCTAATATTCATTCACTACCGCGATTCTTGAAATATAAACGTTGTCTCCGCCGTCTAATCTTCTGCTTTATTGGCCACGGCCTTTGACTGAAGATTATAACATTCTTTTAAGCCTTCCCACACTACGTGGGAGCTTTGGCCCGGATCACTAACAAATAATAATACAGGCTTTAATCTTCTTCGTTTTGACGTTGGTGCCATCAAGTGCAGAAGAACCTTTGTTATTTCAGAGAGAAGCTTACAAGTAACATTCATTTCACAACAACTGCTACCATTTTGTTGTTCAATATACCGTTTTATAATTTAACTGTAATTTGTTACCCTTTGCGTAACTCACGGACATACGTTAGGTCTGTAGTCTTAGTTGTTTTGGTATATTATTGTTAACATTGCGTATTGTTATATCTTGGCTAAGCTTTTTTGCTGGGATCCACCACAAATCTGGTGAGCCCGTATATTTTTATTTGGAACTGTAATTTTGAGTTCACTAACAAACATTACGGCGTTGCTTTTCCTCTCGGTAGTGATTATTTTTTGTACATTTGCACTGTATTCTTTCGAATCTGAAGGCATTAGCCAGGATAACGAACGGAGTTACACGCTCTAAACGTGATAAATGTGCCTTCATTCAGTAGAAGAAACCCACGTATATGGTTTGCACAGGTGGAACTGCAGTTTCAGCGTCATAACATTCACAGGAATCAAAATACTCTTTTGTGCTTGGAATTCTACCGACTGAAGTAGCATCTGAGGTATTAGATCTCATAGATAATGTCCCTGTATCAAATTCCTATGATCAGTTGAAGCAGGCTATTATCCAACGTACCTCACTTTCGGATGAAAAGAAGCTACAACAATTACTGCATGAGTGTGAGCTAGGTGACAAGTTATGCACTCGCGAGTTTGTTTCTGCAGTTTGAGGGTGAATTCTCCAACCTATTGGTTGTCCTGACGAATCGTTTTATGAAATTTTCCTCGTTCACGGTATTCGAAATTTGTACACTTTACAAGATTTGGTTGTTAAGAGTTGTGTAGGGAAGTGAAGTAGGCTTATCTAGACATGCTTTCAGTTGAGTGTTAGGAAATGAATCACGATTTCATAACCCCTATCAAGTTTCTGGGTCATACTCCAGAATACATACATTTCCATACATTCATCGGAAGTTTCAAGAATTGAGATTAACTTCAACTGTTCAGTCACAGGCTCCGTAGTGACGACAACATATAAATTAAAAGTATTCTAATTATAGTCAGTTATGCGTGTTACCACTCGTGTAAGAGTATAGACTGCCCACCAGCATTCTCTATCAAACTCTGTACTGGACAGTCCTTTCCAGTCGTTATTCATCATTTTGATGTCTGCTTCCATATTCCGACTAAGTGTGCTCTTTGGTCTTCCTCTTTTATGTTTCAATTCAATATCCCAAAGTAGTGCTTGCCTCGTGATGCAGCTTGATGGTTTCCGCAATGTATGTCCTATACACTTCCATCGCCTTTTCCAAATTTCCTCTTCAACTGGAAGCTGGTTTGTTCTCTCCCACAGTAAGCTGTCGCTGACAGTATTCAACCAACGGACATGAAGTATCTTGCATAGACATTTGTTTAGAGATACTTGCACTTTATGATGATTGTTGTGGTAGTTCTCGAAGTTTCAGCTCCTTACAGTGGAACTGTCCTAACGTTTGTATTGAAGAATCTGACTTTGATATTGGGTGACAATTGTTTTGAGTTGCATATGTTTTTTAACTGTGGAAAGGCAGCCCTTGCTCTCCTAATCCGTTCCTTCACATCTGCATTAGATTCCACTTGTTTATTGCGTCTACTGTCTAGATATGCGAAAGTTTCCACCTCTTTCAAGGCTCCATCAAGTGTGATTTGGTTGTTACTCACTGTGTTGTGTTGTAGGATCTTTCTATTTCTCTTTTGTTTGTTGAGGTATGCTGCTACTACACTGGTTTCCTTCACCTGCATTTGTTGATGTGTCTTGGATAGAAGGGCTAGGTCATCTACGAAGTTTAATTGCATGCAAGCTGTCCACTATACACCGTGCTTCCCCTGAGATGTGCAGGTTTTCATAATCCAACCAACCACCAGAAGAAAGAGAAAAGGTGAGAGTAAGCAGCATTGTTGGCACTGGTCCTCACTGGAATGCAGGGTTGAACTTAATAGATCCTTAAAATGATCACATGATCTTGAAGCTACTTTTCAGCTATAGAGTTTGAATCAATCAAACACTTCACTTCTACCCGACGTTTGCGCTGACGATGTCGTTCAGAAGGACGATGAAAGCTCCACGACCAAACCATCCAGCTCAGAGAACAAACCTACATCAGAATCAGTCACAAGTATTTCGTAACAGAAGTAATATAAACTAATGGCGTTCGGTAGCTTTAGGAAGTTTATTGGTTTCTCAAGGCTGAATGTCAATTT